AAAATACACGATGGAGAAACGACAGCCTTTTCAACAAACGTTACTGGGAAAACTGGATAGCTGCCTGCAGAAAACTAAAAGTAGATCTATGTTTATCACCCTGGACAAATGTCAACACAAAGTGGATTAAGGACCTTAATATAAGTCCTGAAACCTTGAAGTTAGTACAGGAAAGAGCACTGAAAGCAATAGTCATAGGCAATGACTTCCTCAGCAGAACTCAACTGCCTCAGCAACTAAGAGAAAGGATCAACAAATGGGACTACATGAAATGAAAAAGCTTCTGTACAATAAAAGAAATGGTCTCTAAATTGAAGAGGCCACTTACAGAATGGGAGAAAATCTTTGCCAGCTATACATGAGACAAAGGATTGATAACCAGAAGATACAGGGAGCTCAAAAAACTAAACTCCCAAAAAATCAATGACCCAATGAAGAAATGGGCAAATGAACTGAACAGAGCCTTTTCAAAGGAAGAAGCCCAAATGGCTAAAAAGCACATGGAAAATTGCTCACTATCCCTGGCCATAAAAAGAAATACAAATCTAAATCACATTAAGATTCCACCTCACTCCTGTCAGAATGGTTACCATCAAGAACACAAACAACAACAAATGTTGGTGAAGGTGTGGGGAAAAAGAAACCCTCATACACTGCTGGTGGGAATGTAAATTAGTACAACCACTATGGAAAATAGTATTTTGGATGCTCCCTGAAAAAACTAAAACTAGATTTGCCGTATGACCCAGCCATACCTAGGATATACCCAAAGAAATATGAGTCACCTTACAACAAAGACACCTGCACACCCATGTTTACTGCAGCACTATTCAAAATAGCTAAGCTATGGAAACAGCCAAGATGCCCCACTAGTGACGAATGGATTAAGAAAATGTGATGTTTATGTACAATGGAATTTTACTCAGCCACAGCGAAGAATAAAATTTTTTCATTCTCAGATAAATGGCTGGAACTGGAGAAAATCATCTTAAGTGAAGTTAGCCAGGCTCAGAAGGCCAAAAGCTGCATGTTCTCTCTCACATGTGGAATATAGAGCTTAATACAAATACAGCAATAGTATGAAACACTGGTCACACTAAACGGAGGCCACCCACTGGAAGGGTAGGGTAAAAGAAGGAAATTAAGGTAACACCCACACACAGGAAATCAATGTGAGTCAATGCCCTGTATAGCTATCCTTATCTCAACCAGCAAAACCCCTTGTTCCTTCCTATTATTGCTTATACTCTCTCTACAACAAAATTAGAGATAAGGGCAAAAATAGTTTCTGGCTGTGTATTGAGGGTGGGGGAAGGCGGGAGGGGGTGGAGTGGGTGGTAATAGGGAAGGGGGTGGGCAGGGGGGAGAAATGAACAAGCTTGTAATGCCATATGAATAATACAAAAAAGAAAATGGAAAAAAAAAAAAAAAAAAAAAAAAAAAAAAAAAAAAAAAAAAAAAAGAACTTGTATTCGCCGTATAAGAATGAATACAGTAATCTTAAAGTGGCTGAAACTTCCGTAAGAAAGGGACTAAGGTAGAAAGTAGATAATTAGAGGAGATGAACCACTTGGGGGTATAACACATATATACATGGAAATATCACAAGGAAATTTCCTATATAGCTACCTTTATTTCAAACAAGCAAAAATGTCATGTTTTTCTTTTTATCTTTTCTACCAAATTGGAGAACAAGAGGGCAGAAAAGGTGCTGCCCAGGAAGGGAGGGCTGGCACCAACAGGAGGGAAATGGTGGCGGGAAAAGGGATAGGAGGGTGAATACGGTGCAAAAAATGTGTACATATGCATATAAATACAAAAATGATACCTGTTGAAACTATTCTAGGAATCAGGGTGGGGGGACAAAGGAGAGTGGTAGAGGGGGTGGATTCAAGTCTGATATAGTTGATACATTGTAAGAACCTTTGTAAATGCCCCCCACCCAGCACAACAATAAAGGAACCATATCACTGCTTTAAATAAATAAATAAAACCCAATAAAAGTAAGAGCACTGAGAATGCAGGGGAAAAAAAAAAAGAGTTGGTGACTCTTAACTCTTCTAACAAAAAGCAGGCACTCTATCACTTGAGCCATACCTCCAGTCCACTTTGCTCTGAGTTTTTTTGGAGATAGGGTCTCACGAACTATTTACCCAGGCTGGCATAACTGCCATCCTCCCCATCTCAGAACTAGCTAGGGTTATAGGCATGAGCCACCTTGCCAGCTCTACAGTGATTTTTTTTTAAAGAAAATACTTATAAGTATAATTTGATACACAAATGAACTTACTTTAAGAGTTCATCTCTTTCTGTCTTCCGTGCAAATACTATATCACTACATTTGTTCTGGAACCTAACCAGGATTTCAGTCAATTCATTGTAAAACTGTAAGCAAAGAACAAATTGAAGCAATAAACAAAAACAATTTTTAATCTAGGTTTGAGAAATGCCATCTAAACTAACAATTATACTAACACTAAATCTATTTAGGATGAAGGGTTAAGTTTGCACATTCATTATGGAAATACAGGCATCGCTGCAGACAACCTTAAGAGATTTTCCATTCTCTGGAGTTTTCTTAGTTTATGTATTTGAACAACACACTTCATTCAGATTGAAACAGTTTATTATCTCCTCTATTCAGAAGCATTTGCAGAGTTTTTACCCTCTCTTCAGGACTGTACATTATACAGTCCTGTATTTTTATTTGGTGATCATTACAGAGTTAAGTACTCAAATGAATTGTACATCTGAAAACTTTAAAATCACTTGCTCTCCCAAAAGCATTTTAAATAATCAGTAAAAACAAACAAGCATTTCTCTAATCTTTGTAAAGGATGAGGCAAAAAAAAAAGAACACATATTTAGTATGTGTAGCCTTGACTACTTCCCTGGTTCCTCAGAATTCATTTAAATGGGTCAACTTCCTAATCCTTAAAAAGGTGTCATTGGCTTCTAACATCTCTAATTCCCACTGTCTGAAATTCTTACATCCCTTTTCTGCCAGTTGAAATATACAATATATTCTTCAAAGTTCCAAGAAAACATCAGCACCTTCATTAAGTTTTCTCCCTCTACAACAAACTCACAGAAGCAAAAGGCGTTAAAGCTAACAAATTCTACACAAAGAATAATTTGGTCCAACTAGAAATACCAACTAACTTCCCAGACTGTACTTTCATATCTATATAGTTATCTATTGTTTGTATGTACTCCATACCTTTGTGCCCTCCTTCAAATTAGCTACAAGTTCAACAAAGTTGTCATATGCAGTAGCTAAATTCTTCAAAACTTCTTCTCTTAAGTTAGCTTCATTGTTAGATTGTTTCATTTTTGAAAATTCCTGGTGTGAGACCTTATTAAAAGAAAGATCTATGTAAGGTATATTTACTTATAAAATTAATATAGCTCATAACATTTTATTGATCTCTTTTGTAACTATGAAATCATATATGGTTACAGATATATGTAGAATTATTAGAAACACCTAGTATTTCTTTTTGGTAGTACAATGCTTTGAACTTTTCCTTAAGTAAAACTATCACAAATCCAATGAGTGTCAAAACATAACCAGGAATGATTATAGATTTCTATTAATACATGACACAAAAAAAAAATCAAGGTGAAAACTCTTTTGCTTTTTAGAATACTTTATATATAAATATCTAATATGTAATATAGTATTCAAACATAGAAATACACAATATTTCATCCTGTACATGAACTACTAAAAGGGTAAATTTTCAAGTCTTGTTAGTCTAAACACAAGTGTTCTTATTTGTAAATACAAATACTAACTTCAAACATCTAAGCAGATTTAGTTTTGCATTATTTTCAAAACCTGACTAAAGTCTGTATGTATTTGCCTTATAATTGCCAGAATCAATGATTCCAACTAATTTTGATCTTTCCCCAAACATGGCCAAAAATAAGTCTTTTAAAGACTTGAAAAAATCCTACATCAAACACTTCTAAGTAGCATACAAAATTTTAACCACAGATAAGTGGCTTTGGTTCACAGATTTTAAATATCAATGTACCAAGTTAAATTGTGCAAAATATAGATATACCATTTTCCACTCTGAACTATAGATTCTCCAATTTCATGTTCCTAAATGGACATAAGTTTAGTGCAGCCATATCCTTTCTGTAATTTTTTAAACATACATCTTATTAAATATATAAATTTTACCTGAATATTTTTTAGAAGTCCCTCCTGTTTCTTTAGAGATTCTTGGACTTTATTTGTAAGACTGCCATAGATTCGATCCAGTTCAGTAACAGAAAGAGCTTCTTCATTGATCACACCATCTTGAGCAAGAGCTGTCAGAAACTTGCTTGTCATGTCAAAATTCACTGATTTTAGGTCATTCTCAAGACCCTCTCTTTCCTTCTTTACTTCATCAAGATTTGTCAACAAGGATTTTAAGACATTTACAACCTAAACAATAAAAAAACACTTAGTTTAACTACCAGAAAAGGAAGTCAATTTGAATAAGGAAATAACATAAAAAATATCAATTCTATTTTTCTTTTCTATTGACAGTAGGTGACTCAAAGGTTAAAAGCTGTATAAATTCTGAGTGACATACACAAGACACCAAAAGAGTAAGAAAGGAATACTGCATAGAGATCTAAAGTAAAAAAAAGGAATTGCCACCAAGCTAGCTCTTTGTCAAAATGTGCTCTACAGCTGATACTTTCTTCAGCTTGTTGTACTCCTGACTGCCTTGTGTCCCAAGTTGGGAGTTCCCTACTGCATCATCAAAGGCAAGGCCTACTAGGATGGCTAGTTCACAATGAAGGCATGGACTACTGTTGCCTTCATACAGGTTAACACAGAAGACAAAGGAACTCTAGGAAAGCTGTCAAGACCATTACAATGACATATACGATGAGAACTGCCATCGGTGGGAAGGCAAAATCCTGGAACCAAAATCTGTGGTTTGCATTGCCAAACTGGAAACAGCAAAAGCTAAAGAGCACACCATGAAACTGAGTTAAATGTACAATGTTGAGTTAATGTTGAGTCTGTACATGAAGATAATAAAAACTGTTCTTCCTCCAAAATAAATAAATAAAATTTAAAAAATAAAATAAAACAGGACTCCAGAATATCTTACTATTCCCTGGGTCTACAGTGTTTTTGGTGAGTTCTTTGTTCTTCACAAATCTTCTGACCACATCAATTTTTCTCCTTTATGTTATCCAAGCACCCAGGTCCCTAACATTCAAGTACACAGCCTTCTCTTCCCCTTCCATTCTCTTCCTCTCTTCTCTTCTGGAGCTACCCAGCACCTGTAGCTGGTTTCCACTGAACCTCTACTAGCTTCTCAGGACACACCCACTAACCCAAGCCTGCATGGATCTTGTATATGTTCACTTTTTCTCCCTATCTACTCTGTTCTCATAATGTGCCAACTTTTTCTTTTTTCTGCAATGGAAATTTTTTTAAATCTTTTTAAAATTTTTATTGTTGTGCTAGGTGGGAGTACATTGTAGCATTTACAAAAGAACTTACAATATATCAAATATATCACATTGATATATCATATGTCACCACTGTGCCAACTTCTTAAGAAGCATCCTAAGAGACAACTCCAAATTGCTGAAATCTAAGTACTTGATCCAAATCCTAATAATATACTTTCTATACTTTCCCTGCTGCATTTTGAAACATCTACCTTTTGTTATAATTATCTTTGCACATGACTAATTTTTCACACTGGACCATAAATTGAGGAGAAGGGTTGTGTATGATTCATTTGTTAATTTTTCAAAGCACTTAGCATAGTGTTTTATGTAGTTGATTCATGGTTAAATATATGAGATTATTCTATAGAAGGACAAATAAGGAACAATGTTGATACCTTTCAAAACCTACTATCCTGGAATATTCATCTGTTTCAAGATGCTTTCAGGAGCTTCTTGCCCTTGGCTTATTTGAAGCCTCTATCCTATCCTACAATCATCCCAGCACATAGTCATCAGCAACTAAATTATACTTGTACATTTTCCTCTCTTTAGGGCTTTCCAAATCAGATGCTCTTAATATTGATTTTCAAATTCTTGCCATCATTAAAAATAACATGATGATGTTATTCATTTACTAGCAACTTTCCCTTCAGAAGTAGTCCTAATAGAATACGGTAGAAAGCAGTATAGAATCATAAAAAACAAAGAATTTATAGTCACAAGAGTATTAAGCCAAAACTAGTGTTTTTCACTTCAAGGAAGTTTCTATACTTTCAATCCTCTCTTTTATAAAACCTGAATTAAATACTGTGAACATATGAAGCATCTAGAAGTTAGTACCTAGCTCATGAAAGACACTCAGTGAGTGAAAATTATTAAAATTATTATTACAGGACAGTATAAATACCTATCACACCATATATATAATACTACTAATTTTAAATATAACCCCAATTTACTTGTGTATATGTCTTTGGGCGGGGCAGGGTGGGGAGGTTACTGGAGATCAAACCCAGTGGCTTATGTAATGCTAGGCAAGTGCTATACCACGAAGTTACACCCCTAGCCAACTTTTGCATTTTTTAGAACAGGACAATAACACATTGGCAATTACTGTACACAAGCCTCAAACACAGTTTTCATACGCAGATGACCACCCATATCACATTCCCACTCTCTCACCTCGCTGCCCTGCATGGTCTTCGCTGGATTAGCAGAGGGGATGGCAGCATTCAACTCAGGCTCTGGCTTACACAGGAGTGCAATGGTGTCCCGATGAGACTGGTAACGTTCTTTCACTTGTCCATCAGCTTGCACAGCTTTATCCAAAACTGTTCTGAAGTTGGTTCCCTCTGGGGAAAAAGGTTTCCAGAGCACAGGAGTAATTCTAACAGCAAAGTTTTGGGGCTATCTGCACATAAGTTCTAGTTCTCAACTTTACTCTTCTCCCTCTATAGAAGACCCTAAAATTCACTGCATAATAAAAACTCAGCTACTGTCAATATTTTCATGCTTGTTTTTGGGAAAATGACAAAATCATTAATAAAATCAAGAGCACAGCTATGTATTAAACTGGTTTAACTTAATGTCTGTCAAAAGCAAACTGACATTAGTCTAATCTTTTCCCACAACTCAGAAATAAATCACTTAGTCCAAAAATTGGCACAACTTATTTTAAAAGTATTCTCTCAAAGGATAACTTTACTTTAAAAACAGCAAATATATTTTTAGAAAAATAATTTTATAGAGATAAATAAAACATGTCTTTAGCCATGATGAAGATACCACTTAAACATAAAATCTTAATCAAATCCTTAAAAAGCATAGTTTGACCATAAAGTAACTGTTATACCTAGTTTATTAACCATACAGAATTCACTATTAAGTCAAAAAAGAAATTACAAAATCATACATATGATTTCGTGTTGTTTTTAAAATATACACAGGCCTTGGGAAAGAAAATGAAAATCTTTTTAATCTTCACTTCTTACAATGAACATAAATCACTTGTTACTACTTTTTTGTGTTTTCGTAATAAATTGAGGAAAAAAACGGGGTTTTTGTAACTGTACACACTTAAGTAATAAATTTAGAACTGAGTCTAACTTAAGCAAAAACATGAACCAAAATTGGGAATTTATTCTAGTGAAAAATCATTTATACAAATTTTTACCTGCTCTTAAAGGCTTGTAGAGATCATTCGATGGTGTCCTTTGCCAGCGTTCCTTGAATTTTGCTCTTAAATCATTATCAGTTGCTTCTTCTTCATCCAACATTCTTAGTGACTTAAAAAAAGGAAATAATAAACACTAAAGTACCATTTCTAGCATAAAAAACTTAAAGCACTTTTTAAATAACATACCCAATGTAGGTGAGCATAGCGAAATGGAAATACTTCTACACTCCTGATTAGTACATAAATTGGTACGTTTTGTTGTAGAAATCTAAGTTATACTATATTTAACAAAAAGGCATAAAATTGGGATGAGGGGTTAATTTAGTGGTTGAGCACTTGCTCATGTGCAAAGCCCTGAGTTCAGTAACTGGCACAAAAAAAAAAAAAAGAGCACCATAAAATTTAAGGTTAAGTTAGCAACATTATCTTTCTCAGTAAAATAAAAGAGAATATTTGCATCTATGTCAAGATTCCTTTAAAGGAAATTTTAAGATTAAATTAACGAAAGAGAAGACAGAAGCAAAACCTTTCAACCTCAGAAGCCATAAAACAAAAGGGAAAATTGATTACATAATAAAAAAAACTATGCAATAAGAGACTTAGACTTCCAGTACAACTAAAAATTGTATGTTGCATATAAAAAAAATGCCTTTTTATGCACAGATGAAAAGAAACACAAGAAAGTGCTAATCTAGCCATGGACCCAGGTTTAGTGCCAAGGGTGTCTAACAATAATGACAGCTAGAGCAGAAAACAGCACTTTTGTGTCACATATCAGAGTAAATATTTCAGGCTTTGTGGGCTACACATAATCTCTGTCATGTATTCATTTTACTACAACCTCTATAAATGGTATATATACATACATAAATAAATAAAACCCTCTCAGCTAGTCAATCTATACAAAAATAGACCAAAAACCAGAACTGGCCCACCACCCATACTTAGCCACCTATGAAGTTTGTCATTGACTTAAACTGTGGATTTAACACACAAGGAGATAAGAAACTTAGGCAGAGCCAGTAAGAGTGAGAGGTCAGATTGGAGGCACCTTCCATGTCCAATTAGGACACTATCAAATCAGTGATTCTCAATTAATGTATTTTTGTGGGGAGGGGATTGGTGGATGGTACTAGAGTTTGGACTCAGTCCTCAAGCTTGTTAGACAGTCACTCTACAACTTGAGCCATACCCACTGCCCAGCCCTTTTGTTCTTTATTTTTCTAATAGGATCTCACATCTTTTGCCTATAACCTACCTCAGACCACCACCCTTCTACCTGTGCCTCTCATTAGCTGGGATTACAGACATGAACCACCACACCTAGCTTGTGGTTAACAAAAGGTCTCACTAACTTTTTGCCTGGGCAGCCTGGAACCATGATCCTCCCAAGTTCCACCTCCCAAGTAGTTGGGATTACAGATGTCAGTCACCAAAGATGACCATATTTTTAAAGAAGGAAAATTGTCCTACAAAAGGAAACTTGCCTGTTTGGACTTTGGCTGACATTCCTACTCAAAAGTCTGAATTTGGGATTAGAAATGACACAGTGTGACACAAAGTCTAAGATGAACTTCCAATTAAAAGATTAACTTTAAAAAGGGAGAAAAAACTCTTTAAGTTCAAGGAGCTATCAGGTATATAATGCCTGTCTAGTGGCTGAAACAAACATAAATTCTATCTAGAAGAATTCATTCTAAACCCAGACTTCAAAGAATTCCCACAAGTAAAATTCCAGGAAATGTGAATTCAGAATCAAAAATCACTCATGTAATATTCTAAACTGGATTTTGGACACTAGTAGAATAACTGGTAAAACTGCCCAGGAGTGCTACTTGCCAATGTTTAATTTCTTAGCTTTAATAACTCCATATAATCTTAACTTTAGGGAAAGCTGGGTGATGAACACATAGGAACTTTTTGCACTAAATTTACAACTTTTCTATTAAGTATAAACTTACCCAACTTTTTTAAATCTCTAATTAAAAAGAAAAAACTAAACTCAAGAAATAAAAAGCCACTATAAAAAATAAAAAAGCAGAGTCAAATTCACAAGGACTAGGGATACAAAAATTATAACATGAAGAATACAAAATAAATACGTTTAATATATTTGAAGAAATAAAGGTATGACATAGGAGAAAGAGAATGGGAATAAGTGAGAAAACACAGAATTTCTAGAAATAAGAACAAATTAGGAAGTTAATGAGCACTTAAAAGTTGTGAAAGCATAACTGAAGTGAACTGGGAACAGGTCAGAATAAACTACCCACAATGAAGCACAGAATCAACACAAAATGAGAGGTTAAGAGACACAGAAGCCAGGCAGGATCAGGCACACATGTACTAGCAAAGCCTTGGCTACAATGAAAGACCCTGTCTCAAAACCTGAAAGAAAAAAGAAAGAAAGAAAAATATTTTTAAAAAAAGAAAGAACAAAGAGACAGACAGAAAGACATAGAAGTCCAGCACCAGTGCCTTACACCTGTAATCCTAGCTATTAGGGAGGCTGAGATCAGGAGGATTGCAGTTCCAGGTCTGCTTAGACAAATAGTTCCTGAGGCTCCACCTCCAAATTAACGAGAGCAAAATGGACTGGAGGCGTGTTTTAAGCCACAGAGCAACTCCTTTGCAAGTGCAAAGCCCCGAGTTCAAACCACAACCACACCCCACCAAAAAAGACACAGAAAGTAAAATAAAAAAATTCAGCGTACACATAACCAGAGATATAAGGATAGGGGAAAAGCAATATTCAAGGAAGTGAAAACTTGAGGATCCAAGATGGCAACTAGGGCGCAGAAGCAGACAGCGTGAGCTCTGTGAATCAAAAATCTTGCTCAGACTCTGGAGCCACATTTGGAGGAAATAAAAACACCTAGGAGAATCAAAACTTCAACACCCTGAACCTCTAGCCCTTAGAAAGCTTCTCCAAGCCACATTACACTGAGAAAACAGGAGGGCTCCCACTGACACCAGACGCCAGCTCCAAACCTCCTTGGGAGACATTCAGCAGACCAAACAGATGACAGCCAAGTGTCACACGGTATTCCCCCAGCCACCCCCAGGATAAACCAGCATAGCACCCTGGGCAGACTGCCCCCACCCCGCAAAAAAGTAAAAAACTGAATAAACAACAAACTGAAAACTAGCATACAGCAGAGGGGGTGGGGTGCTAGAAGCACAATGGAGAAGGGGTGGTGAGCAAGGAGCTGATCTCCACACTAACTTTCAATAAACAAAGCCTGGAAAGGCAGAAAAGCCAACAGCAGGCAGATGATAAGCCACTGCCTGAAGCAGGGCAGGAAGCAATCCACAAACCTCATCTCCTGAGCCAGTGAGCAACATCCAAAGTCAAACAATACTGCAAAATTAAAAAACAATCAGCAAACCATCACAACACGCTGACAGCAAGGGGCCAACTGACAGATCACTAATCTTGCCCCAGCAAAGCAGGGGAGGCAAAGAAAAAACCCCCAGTAAACCAGCACACTGAAAACCCAACTCCAAAGGAGGATAGCTGGTGAGCTACAGAGCTGTTCTCCAGAACCTGAGAACAACATACAAACTTGAACTGCCACACCCCACTGAGGGAGGAGCTGACTAAGCAGCTGCCGCTAAAACACAGAAGAAAAAAAAAAAACTACCCTACCACCTGGCAAGACTATGACAGAGCTTCTGCTTAGGACTGGATGCTGGAAGAGTAACACCAGAACTTAAACAAACACTGAAATTCTATTGTTCCCTAACCTGGAGGGATTTTTTTCTGTGTGTTTGTGTGTTTATTTGTTTTGTTTCTTGTTTGTTTTTGTTCATCTCTCCCCACTGATTTCTTTGGGATTTTTTTTGTTTGTTTGTTTTGTTAGTTTTACTACTGTGAGTTAGTTAATATTAAATTACACCCAGACCAGGAACAGAATTAGCACACACACACTAGCTAAAAACCCAATGCAGTCACAAAGCAAAATTAAACCAAGGGAAAGAAAACAGGTGACTAAAATCACCAATTAGCCTATCAAGAACATAGTTTGCACAGTACCAAGTGGAGCCACGGGAAGATGAAAAAGGGATGGAAACCATTCTCCCTCAAAAAATAATTTAATACAGGATTCACAGGGAAATGAAGAAAACAGATACCCAGTTTCAGACTCCAACAAAACAAAGATAAATGACACCAAGGAACCCAATAATGCCACAAGAACACACTTCAAAGAAGAAATCCTGCACGTAATCACTGAGAATTTCATGGAGATGTTATTAGACATAGTTAACCAAAAACGTACAAAAGGTACTCAATAAAGTTCAAGACACCAAACATAAAGAACATGAGAAGACACAGAAACAAATAAATGAACTCATAGGAACCCTAAATAAACACCAAAGTAAAACAAAAAACACTATAAATACAGAGGAAGTGACAGCATGATATGGAAAACCTCAGAGAAAAGAATGAAACAGAAACACAAAACACAATGGAAGGCCACTCCAGCAGACTAGAACAAGCAGAACACAGAATCTCAGAACTTGAAAATAAAATGGAAATTAAAGGAAAAACTAAGGAGCTATTAGTCAAACAACTCAAGACCTGAGAAAGGAATATGCAAGAACTCACTGACTCCATCAAAAGACTAAACCTGAGAATCATGGGCATTGAAGAAGAGGTCCAAGCAAAAGGGATTTGTAATATATTCAACAAAATAATAACAGAAAATTTCCCAAATCTAGAGAAAGCTATGACCATCTAGGTACAGGAAGCCTCCAGGACACCAAACAGACTTGACCAAAACTACACTACTCCATGACATATTATCATTAAAACAACAACCAAAGAGAATAGAGAAAGAAAAGGGAAGCTGTAAGAGAGAAAAAACAAATAACATGCAAAGGTAAACCCATCAAAAACACAACAGATTTATCAATGGAAACCTTAAAACCAAGAATGTCATGGCATGAGGTATTCCAGGCACTGAATGAAAATAACTTCAACCCTAGGATACTCAACCCAGCAAAACTATCATTCAAAACAAAGGAGCAATAAAAGTCTTCCACAATAAGCAGAAACTAAAACAATTTATGACCACCAAGCCACCACTACAAAAGATTCTCTAAGAAATTCTGCACACAGAAAATGAAAACAAACAAAAACATGTGAGGACCAAACCACAGGAGAAAAAAGACAAGGAATCAGAGAGTAACACTGATTCAGCGGCATACAATCAAACCATTAAGCCACAAAAACAACTAAATGACAAGAATCACCACATACCTATCAATACTAACACTGAATGTTAATGGACTTAACTCCTCCATCAAAAGACACCATTTGGCAAACTGGATTAAAAAAGAAGATAAAACAATCTGTTGTTTACAGGAGACAGAAATAAGCACTGGCTTAGGGTGAAAGGCTGGAAGATCTACCAAGCCAATGGCCCCTGAAAACAGGCAGGAGTAGCAATACTTATCTCGGACAAAGTAGACTTTAAATTTACATTGATCAAATGAGATAAAGAAGGATAGTTCATACTAATAAAGGGAGAAATACATCAAAAGGAAATAACAATTATCAACCTATGTGCACACAAGGTCAGTGCATCCAATTTCATCAAATACTCAGAAGGACCTAAGAGCATATACACACTTCAACACAGTGGTAGTGGGAGACTTTAACATCCCCCTATCACCAATCAATAGGTCATCCAAACAAAAAAATCAATAAAGAAATTCTAGAACTAAATCATACCAAAGATCCAATGGACCTAGTTGATGTCTACAGAATATTTCATCCAACTTCTACACAATATACATTCTTCTCAGGAGCCCATGGAACTTTCTCCAAAATTGATCATGTCTTAAGATACAAAGCAAGCCTCAGCAAATATAAGAAAATAGAAACAATACCATGCATTCTATCTGATCACAATGCATTAAAACTAGAACTCAACAACAAAAACAACAGTAGAAAACATGCAAGCAATTGGAAGCTAAACACCACACTGCTCAATGATCAGTGGGTCATTAATGAAATAAAAGAGGAAATTAAAAGGTTCCTGGAAGTTAATGAAAATGAAAACACAACCTACCAGAACCTATGGGACACAGCAAAGACAGTCCTAAGAGGAGAGTTTATAGCCATGAGTGCATATATTAAAAGGACAGAAAGATTTCAAATCAATGACCTAATGCTACATCTCAAACGCCTAGAAAAACAAGAACAAGCAAATCCCAAAACAAGCAGAAGGAGAGAAATAATAAAAATAAGGACCAAAATTAATGAAATAGAAACAAAAGCATACAAAGAATCAACGAAACAAAAGGCTGGTTCTTTTAAAAAGAAATAAACAAGATTGACAGATCCCTGGCAAACCTAACTAAAATGAGGAGAGAAAAAACCCAAATTAGTAAAATCAGAAATGCAAAAGGGGAGATAACAAACACTACAGAAATTCAGGGAATCATCAGAGACTACTTTGAGGACCTATATTCAAATAAATTTGAAAATCTTGAAGAAATGGACAAATTTCTAGATACTTCTGACCATCCAAAATTGAACAAAGAGGATATTAATCACCTGAATAGATCCACAACACAAAATGAAGTTGAAACAGCAATAAAGAGTCTCCCAAAACAGAAAAGTCCAGTACCTGATGGATTCTCTGCTGAATTCTATCAGACCTTTGGTAAAGAACTAAAACCAACTCTCCTTAAACATTTCCATGAAATAGAAAGGGAAGGAACACTGCCTAATTCATTTTATGAAGCCAGTATTACACTCATCCTAAAACCAAAGACATCTCCAAAAACGAGAACTACAGGCCAATCTCCTTAATGAACACCTATGCAAAAATCCTCAATAAAATAATGGCAAACCGAATCCAACAACATATCAGAAAGATTATTTACCATGAACAAGTTGGCTTCATCCCAGGGTTGCAGGAGTGTTTTAACATACGCAAATCTATAAATGTAATATAGCACATTAATAGAAGCAAAGACAAAAACCACTTGATCATGTCAATAGACACAGAAAAAGCCTTTAATAAGATTCAACACCACTTCATGATAAAAGCTCTAAGAAAACTAGGAATAGAAAGAAAGTACCTCAACATTATAAAGGCTATATATGACAAACCTATAGCCAACATCATACTTAACAGAGAAAAACTGAAACCATTTCCCCTAAAATAAGGAACAAGACAAGGGTATCTACTAACCCCACTCCTATTCAACATAGTCCTGGAATTCCTAGCCAGAGCAATAAGGCAAGAAGAAGAAATAAAAAGGAATACAAATAGGTAAAAAACTGTCAAAATACCCGTTTGCAGATGACATGATCTTATACCTCAAAGACCCAAAAAACTCTACCCAAAAATTCCTAGACACCATAAACACCTTCAGCAACGTGGCAGGGTATAAAATCAACTTACAAAAATCATTACCTTTTCTATACACCAACAATGACAAACTGAGAAAAAATATATGAAAACAATCCCATTTACAATAGCCTCAAAAAAAAAAATCAAATACCTAGGAGTAAACTTAACAAAAGATGTGAATGACCTCTACAATAACTACAAACCCCTGAAGAAAGAGATCGAGGAAGACCACAGAAGGTGGAAAGATCTTCCGTGCTCATGGATCAGTAGAATCAACATAATAAAAATGGCTATACTACCAAAAGCAATCTACATGTTCAACATAATTCCCATCAAAATCCCAATGACATTCATCACAGAGATTGAAAAATCTACCCAAAAGTTCATTTGGAAACACAAGAGACCACAAATAGCCAAGGCAACACTCAGCAAAAAGAGCAATGCTGGAGGTATCACAATACCTGACTTCAAACTATATTACAAAGCAATAGTAATAAAAACAGCATGGTACTGGCACAAAAACAGACATGAAGACCAGTGGAACAGAACAGAGGACCCATTTATGAATCCACACAGCTATACCCAACTTAATTTTGACAAAGGCACCAAAAACATATGATGGAGAAAAGACAGTCTCTTCAACAAATGTTGCTGGGAAAAGTGGTTATCTGCCTGCAAAAAACTGAAACTAGATCCATGTCTATCACCCTGTACTCATATCAACTCAAAATGGATCAAGGACCTTAATAAAAGACCCAAAACTCTGAAGTTAGTATAGGAAAGAGCAGGGAATACTCTGGAAAGAATAGGTATAGGCAAGGACTTCCTCAACAGAACCACAGCAGCTCAGCAACTAAGAGAAAGGATGGACAAATGGGACTACATTAAATTAAAAAGCTTCTACACAACAAAAGAAATGGTCTCTAAACTGAAGAAAACACCCACAAAGTGGGAGAAAATATTTGCCAGCTATACATCACACAAAGGACTGATAACCAGAATATACAGGGGACTCAAAAAACTAAACTCTCCCAAAATCAATGAACCAATAAAGAAATGGGCAACTGAACTGAACAGAACTTTCTCAAAAGAAGAAATTCAAATGGCCAAAAAACACATGAAAAAAATGCTCATTTCTGGCCATAAAGGAAATGCAAATCAAAACCACACTAAGATTCCACCTTACTCCTGTTAGAATAGTTATCATCAAAAATACCACCACCAACAGGTGTTGCCAAGGATGTGGGGAAAAAGGAACCCTCGGACACTGCAGGTGGGAATACAAGCTATTGCAACCACTCTGGAAAATAATATGGAGGCTTCTTAAAAAACTAAAACATA